CATTTTCAGAATTTTGTTCTGAATCCTTTGAAGTGCTTTTTTCCTGGTAGTGCAGCAACTAGACCATATTGGCACAGCGTAAAGCATGGCCGGTCTAAAAACTTGTTTAAATATTAGAAGTTTATTCGTCAGGCAAAGTTTGGATTTCCTGTTTATAAGAGGATACAAACATTTAATATATTTGTTACATTTGGCTTGAATGCCCTCAATGTGATCTTTAAAAGTTAATTTTTGGTCAAGTATTAATCCAAGATATTTTACTTGGTTTGACCAGGAAATAGGAACTCCGTTCATAGTGACTATGTGACTACTACTAGGTTTCAAAAAGGAAGCTCTGGGCTTATGTGGAAATATTATAAGTTGAGTTTTGGAAGCGTTGGGAGAAATCTTCCATTTTTGTAAATAAGAAGAGAAAATATCTAAACTTTTCTGCAGTCTGCTGCAAATAACACGAAGACTTCTTCCTTTAGCGGAAATGCCTGTGTCATCAGCGAACAAAGATTTGTGGCAACCCTGAGGCAAATCAGGGAGGTCCGAAGTGAAAATGTTATACAATATAGGCCCAAGAATGCTACCCTGAGGAACTCCTGCTCTAACAGGTAGTCGATTAGATTTGGAATTTTGATAATTTACCTGCAGAGTTCTGTCAGTTAAATAATTTTGAACTAATTTAATAATATAAAGTGGAAAATTAAACTTTTTCAATTTAGCAATCAAACCTTCATGCCAAACACTGTCGAATGCTTTTTCTATGTCTAGAAGAGCAACTCCAGTCGAGTGGCCTTCAGATTTGTTTGAACGAATTAAATTGTTAACTCTTAAGAGTTGATGAGTAGTTGAATGCCCATGGCGAAATCCAAACTGCTCATCTGCAAAAATTGAGTTCGTGTTGATGTGAAGCATCATTCTATTCAAAATTATCTTTTCAAAAAGTTTACTTATTGAAGAAAGCAAACTTATTGGGCGGTAGCTAGAAGCTTCAGCTGGATTTTTATCCGGCTTCAAAATTGGAACAACTTTTGCATTTTTCCATTTATCAGGAAAGTATGCCAAATGGAAACATCTGTTAAATAATTTTACCAAGAAAGACAAGGTACTCTCTGGGAGTTTTTTGATGAGGATATAGAAAATTCCATCATCACCTGGAGCTTTCATATTTTGAAATTTTTTAGTTATAGACCTTACTTCGTCCAAATCAGTCCCCCAGGAATCATCAAAAATATTTTCCCGAGAGAAAATATTCAGAAAATCTCGAGCAACCTGATTCTCAATAGGACTAGGAAGACCCAAACTGAAATTATGGGAACTCTCGAATTGCTTAGCAAGTTTCTGAGCTTTTTCCAAATTTGTGATCAAAATTTTACCACCTTCTTTAAGCGCTGGAATAGGCTTTTGAGGTTTTTTCAAAATTTTTGTGAGTTTCCAAAAGGGTTTGGAACTCGGGTCTAATTTAGAAATATTATTTTCAAAAGTTTTGTTCCTCAGGGCAGAGAATCGCTTTTTAATTTGTTTTTGCAAATCCCGCCAGATAACTTTCATGGCAGGATCGCGTGTTCTTTGATATTGTCTCCTACGGACATTTTTAAGACGGATCAAGAGCTGAAGATCATCGTCTATTATAATTGAATCGAATTTAACCTCGCATTTTGGTACTGAGGCAGCTCTTGCTTCAACTATAGAAGTAGTCAGAGATTCAAGAGCATAATTAATTTCATCTTTGGTTTGCAAAGGAATGTTTGGATCGAAGTTATATTCCATAAATGTTCGATACTGCTCCCAATCAGCTCTATGGTAATTGAAAGTAGAGCTGTTGGGATTACAAATTATTTCTTGGGATATTTCAAAAGTTACCGGAAGGTGATCAGAACCGAAGTCAGCATGGGTAACCAATTGGCTACAAAGTTGACATGAATCAGTTAAGACCAAATCAATAGTGGAGGGATTTCTTGCAGAAGAAAAGCATGTTGAGCTGTTTGGATATTGAATAGTGTAATAACCTGCAGAACAATCATCAAACAGAATATTACCATTGGAATTGCTTTGAGCATTATTCCATGAGCGGTGTTTTGCATTAAAATCACCAATAATGAAGAATTTAGACCTATGACGGGTAAGTTTCTGGAGGTCACCCTTGAGAAAATTCTTTTGCTGGCCTACGCATTGGAATGGCAAATAGGCAGCTATAAACGTAAGTTGTCCAAATTTAGTTTCAACAGAAACTCCCAAAGTTTCAAAAACTTTGGTTTCAAAAGAAGAAAGAATTTTATGTTTGATTTGTCTATGAATAATGATGGCAACGCCACCACAGGGTCCATCAAGACGATCATTTCTATAAATTAAGTAATTTGCGTCCTTCTTAACCTTGTGGGCAGGTTTAAGGAACGTTTCAGTTATAACGGCAATATGCACGTTATGAACTCGTAAAAAGTTAAATAGCTCGTCTTCATTATCTTTAAGAGATCGAGCATTCCAATTTAAAATGTTTAATGCTTTAAAATCCATTACTGAATTTTAAAGTCATGACAATATTATTTGCAAATTTTACTCCAGTTTGAATAGCATCAAACATGGAGTTAGATTTAAGCATATCAGAAATCATGTCAATTAATGAATTCTGTAAAAATTCCATTTTGGGGGCAGTAATGCTTCCTAAGTCAAAATTGTCAAAATTTCCGTTAGAACGTTGGTTAGTATTTTGATTTCTACCCGCTGCAATAGCAGCATAGGTAGCTCCATTAACTCGCTGAACATTGTTAGCAGCGAGGGGAGTAGGTACAGATGAAACATTTGAAGCAGGGGAGATATTTGTACCTACGGGTACGAATGTAGAATTTGTTCCTCGCTGACCGTTGTTAACAGCAGAGGAATTTTTACCTGGTCGGAAACGTGGAGCGTTTCCTACCTGACGGTTAGAACGAGATTGTAGGATCGCTTTGCGAGTCTTACATTCCCAAAAATTGGATTTGTGGTTTTCACCACAATTTGAACATTTAAATTTCTTAGGATCTTCCTTCACAGGACAGTCGTCCTTTGCGTGAGAGGAATCACCACAATTCATGCATTTAGCTGGCATGTAGCAATTTTTAGTTCCGTGACCCCATCCCTGGCACTTACGGCACTGGGTGAGGTTTTGGAAATTTCCTCCAGTCTTCCTGAAGTGTTCCCACTTCACTCGGACATGGAGCATAAGGCTAGCTTTTTCTAAGGCCTTAAGGTTGTTTAGTTCACTAGACTTGAAGTGAACTAAATAAAAATCATTAGAAATCCCGTTGCGCGAATCGCCAGGACGGGATTTCATTTTCATTTTGATTACTTGGAGTGGCACAACTCCAAGTAATTTTGCCAGTTCATCTTTGATCTGATCCAGGGATTCACCACTGGGCAGTCCTTTCATGACAACCTTGAACACACGTTCAGTTTTGGTGTCGTAAGTAAAAAATTTGTGCTTCTTCTCAGTAAGATACTTGAGAAGACATTTAAATCCGTCCAAGGTTTCAGCCAATACACGGCATTCACCCCGACGTCCAATTTGTAGTGAAAACTTAACTTTCACGAAATTCAAAAGTTCCATGCGAAGAGCATGGAAATCGGAAGTGGTTATCACAATAGGGGGAATCTTTTCCTTCTTGGCATTAAGCCGGGAAAGTTTACTAGAATTTTTCTTGGATGATGGATCATTCTCATCATCCGTGAGCAAATCAAATTGATTACTCAAATTAATTTCATCAGAAGGGGGGTCAAGAGTTTGCCCCTTTCTTTTGCGTTTAGGCGCCATGGCGGCAGTAAATTGTTATCCAGATCGACTTCCAAGCAGATTACTATAAGAATCTGAAGGATCGAAGAGGAATTTTCCAAATCGATATCCAAGAAGGATTACCTCGGGTAGGGTCCAAACAAGGATCGAAGAGGAATAAGAGTTGAACAAGGTAGAAAATTTTTACAGGTTGAGCACTGAAAAGTGCTGTTTAAATTTGTTGTAGCTTTAGGTAGTAGTAACACTTCCTTCAGCAAAAAGCAAATAGATCCGCACGGCAAGAGAGCACGATGCGGACTGTGGTAAGCTTTCTTTTTAATTGAATTGTCTCTTGTACATTCTAATTTTTTTTTTTTTAAGGGCTAGATTGGTTGGTTCATAATTCCACTCACTTACTATAAAAAAATGTTTTTCAGAATTATGAAATCATGAGATGGTACAGTGATAATTAGTACTTGTAAGTTACAAAATGAGAACGTGAAGTATGTGTTTGACACATAAAATCTGTCAATATTGCTTTCAGTGCGTCACAATCAGCAATTTTACGACTCGTGAGTGCTCACTCTGAGTGAACGCTCACGAATCATAAGATCGGTTTTTTTTTTATTATTATAGTTACTTTAACACTCTTGGGTCATTCGTGACTTGTCCGGGGGTGAGATTTGAACTCATGACTTTGGCGTGAGAGGTATGGATGTTAACCACTACGCCGAGGTCGCCCCCCATAAGATCGCTTATTGTGACGCTCTGAAAGCAAAATTGACAGGTTTTATGAGTCAAACACATACTTTAAACCCTCTTCTCGTTACTTACAAGTACAGCATAATTATATCATCTAATGATTGCAAAAAATATGTTTTTATAGCAAGTGAGTGGAAGCAACCCTGCTTTCAATCAAAGACTCGTTGATAATTAATCGTCTCTGATAATTTCATGTACTATTATGTATTATTTGGTGAAACAGAAAATTATCTCTTGGGCACTGAACATAATCTTACTAAATTTAACAAATAAAATATTTAACTAATATTGATCATACTTATACCTATTATATAATACAATGCATATAAACATTACAATTTTAACATTAAAGTGGTGTATGGTAAACATCAATAAATTTCATTTTCATTGATCATTTAATCTGTTAAAATGTTCAAAAGAAGATGCTTTATAACCCTTATTTGTGCAACATGAATATTTCGGAAATTCCATGTGTTAATATTGTGCAACTTTGTTTATTTTTCAGAGTTTCGCCGAATATGTCGCTCGGTACAATGATTTGTACTCGGTGCGACGAGGGCTTCGAACCGCACGAGCGAATCGTAAACTCGAACGGCCAACTTTGGCACACTCAATGCTTTGTGTAAGTATATAGTTAGTTTTACGTGGTCTTTGAAACGTTATAAATAATTGAATTTGCATATTCCAGCTGCGCCCAATGCTTCCGCCAATTCCAGGATGGCATTTTCTACGAATTCGAAGGTCGCAAGTACTGCGAGAAGGATTTCCATATCCTGTTTGCTCCCTGCTGTAACAAGTGCAACGACTTTGTCATCGGTAGGGTGATCAAGGCGATGGCGGCCAACTGGCACCCGGATTGCTTTACGTGCGAACGGTGCAGTATCCCACTGGCGGATTCGGGATTCATTCGCAATCAGAACCGCGCTCTTTGTCATGATTGTAATAAGTTGGAGAAAGAAGTGGGCTCAGGAAAGCACATTTGCAACAAGTGCCAGTAAGTTGAGAAATTTGATGAATGCTTGCGGAAATGGTAGAATAACGAATTATTTTACTCCACAGTGGTGTCATCGATGACACTCCGTTGCGTTTCAGAGGTGAAGTCTATCATGGCTATCACTTTAATTGCACGGCTTGTGGTGCCGAGCTGGATTCGTCTGCACGAGAGGTCAAGAACCGAACCGGATATGCTGCGAACGATATGAACGAATTGTACTGTCTGCGTTGCCATGATCGTATGGGTATTCCAATTTGCGGTGCATGCAGGCGTCCGATTGAGGAACGTGTTGTGACTGCCCTGGGCAAGCATTGGCATGTTGAGGTAGGTTTGGTTTGAAAGAACTTTCGAACGAATCCGTATTAAATATTTGAATTTAACAGCACTTCGTTTGTGCCAAATGCGAAAAACCGTTTTTGGGACACCGTCATTATGAAAAACGTGGTTTGGCCTATTGCGAGACGCACTACCATCAGTTGTTTGGTAATCTCTGCTTTGTCTGCAACCAAGTCATTGGGGGTGACGGTAAGTACTGTGCAGTAGTTTTGTTCGCAATAAACTATATATCACCCTCTTTATCTCCAGTATTCACCGCGTTAAACAAGGCTTGGTGTGTTCATCATTTCTCGTGTTCGATTTGCGATACTAAAATGGATCAAAAGTCAAAGTTTTATGAGTACGATGAGAAGCCGGTGTGCAAGAAGTGCTACGAGCGTTTTCCAAGCGAACTTAGACGTCGTTTGCGTATGGCGCATGAGAATACTTTGAAAAAGAATGTCAACTAGTATTTTGTTTTACGAAATTTGACTACGAAACTCGATTTTGAACGGAAATGAATGTCTATATGCTTTACTAACTCTTAACTCATACACTGACGGAACATGTTTCCTAAACGTTGTAGCTAAGCACAAATACTTAAAAAGTTATATCGATGTTAAAAAGTAACTATTGTGCCTTGATCTTGAACGTTTTTAACGTCTCGGAAATAATGTTTAAATATATTTCAAAGTATTTTCTAATTTGGTCTAACGTTTGTATTGTTTGATAATCACAGATAATAATGTATCTTTATTAACTGTCCTAATTTCAAGTGTTTTACTGTAGTCTAATCGTAAGTGGTAATCTACGAGCATTATGTGTCAAATTTTAGTCGTTTAACATAGATATATTGTTTTTGGTATAACTAAAATTCTTAAGCTTTTAATTATTAGAACAAAAAGAAAATTCCATCGTGGATACTGATCCTATAAATTGTGAAGTGAAGTTTCCTCCGTTAATTAGGGGAAAATGAAAAAAGTTAGTAAAACAGTAATACGGAGACGAAGATCGCGTATTTTCGAGTTTTGGTTGGAGGCGCTTTGTCACGATAGAAGTGTACGGGTCTATTATTGTCTAAAAGAATAAAACTTAATATAAATGCTTTGACTATATCAGTGCCAACATTTCAAAGGGGCGTAATTGCTTTTGTACACAATGACTTTAGCCGTCGACTTCTCGCAACTTAAATCTCATACCAATGCTAGATCATAGAGAAAACATTCCTCTATCTGTTGATGTCATCATTTTTCATGAGTGAGATTTTATTCGCGAGAAATCGACGGCTAAAACCATTGTGTACAAATGTAAGTTGTTGAATTGCCGGCTGATTGCTCGAATTGGCTCGTGTTGTGTATAATTTCGGCGCCGTGGTTCCAAAAACAGAAGAAGAGGCCTCTCAGGGGCATACATATTTTGCTGAGCCAGCAGTGTTGGACAGTCAATGTCACCCGTAAGCAGCTTTCCAGCGAACATAGCTTGAGCGACCGTCCGTCTCACGTTCGTCGTACGGTGGCAAGTTTGTTGGGTCACGCCAGTTGAGGAAACGAAGAGCATATCTCATAAACTTGCGTTGAACGGATTCAATTCTAGTGATCCAGCTAACATGGAAAAGGCACCAAACAACTAAACTTGACTCCAATAAGGATCGCACAAGCGAGCAGTAGAGTGACCTGAAGCATAGCGGGTCACGGAACTCGTCGGCAATTTTGAAAATAAAGCCCAATTGTCGATTAGCTCTGGAGATGATGTCATTGTAGTGGATTCTGGAAGTGAGTCCGCAGTTCAACGTAACGTCATGATCCATTATGTGCTCTACACGAGCAAGACAGCGTCCGTAGAGAACATAGTCAAAAATGACTGGTTCGATTTTTCGGTGATAGGAAATAATGTTACATTTTTCGACTCATCAATTTCTTGAGCACCAGTCAGCAAAAATACCTAACATATTCTGGAGATCCCAACAGTCCGAGAGACTTTTAATAATTTTGTAGATTTTCGTATCGTCTGCATTGAAAACGCGGCATCCTGGATAGAAAGGCGACGTCGTTTAAAAAGATCAAAAACTGTATCGGTCCTAGGTTACTGCCTTGCGGAACTCCTGAGTTGTTTGAGAAAACATCCGATTCCGACGCGCCAATCTTAACCCGTACATAACAATTTACCAAGTAAGATCTGAACCAATCCACAGCCGTTGACGAGACGCCAAGTATCTCCAGCTTGGCAAGCAAGATATTATGGTCCACCGTTTTAAAATGCAAGATATTATGGTCCACCGTGTTAGATCCATATACGCAACATCGACTTGCCATCCTGAATCCATGCATCGCAAACAGTTAGAAGTAAACTGCACCAGGTTCGTGAACACGGAGCGCTTCGGGTAAAAGCCGTGTTGTTCTGTATCGATATATTTTATGCAATACTGCCAAGGGCGCAGTAAACCCTTACTACGGCTTTGGTTCAGCCTAGGGGCCTTCGGATAAAATTTTCATAATTATGTATCGCTCAGTAAATTTATTATATTCTACCTAATATTTATTAATAGTTTCGAGATCTCGAACTTTAAAACATTATCTAAGTGATGGACCTTGGAATATTTGTTTAAATTTGTGAACTTACATTTTTTAATATCAAAATTATGAAAATTTATATTGGTGGGCGTTGGCCAAATTTGGATTTTTCAGATATATTTAATCCTAAATAGGACCTAGATTATTTAATACTCTAGTAACCTCAAGTACGTGCTCTGTCACAATGTTTCATTGTGATTAATCAACACTCAAAGGGGTAAAATATCAAATTTGGGGTGGATTTGAAAGAAAGGGAACTTGGAGTGTAGAGCGCACTGCCCACTGGACGATTCTGAAGCCTGGCCAAGTGAGTGGGGTATGGGTTTATTTGATTAAACGTCATTTCCAATGTATATATTTATAACCATTGGCATTTGAGATAAGACAGAGATAGGATGCGGAGGGCCCGCTTAGGGGAAGCGTAACCCATGTTATGGTTTCCATTTATTAAATAGTTCAGATAGGCTGGAAATTACATGTTCATAGTGAGAAAATGTACCATATGGGGCCCGTTCACTGATCAAAATCAGATTCACATCGTCAGACCCTGCCCAAGAATAAGGGGATTGACGATGACTTGTCAAGTTTTATTTTGAATATGCGTTTTGCATTTAATACTCTAGTAAATCTCGCGTCCGTGCTCATTCACAACAGTGTGAGGTGTCAATACTCACTGGGTCATATGTCTTAGACCAGTTCCAGATTAGTTTGCTATTAATATCTTCTGCATCGCAGTTCGCGATAGATTCCTAAATATGGGTTCTCTTTTCCGACCATAATAGTGTGAGGGAAGGGGGTGAGTTCTGGATCAACAATGGAGGGGGGCCCATCGGCATTTGTGGGCAGACCGTCCAGGGCCCATTCCTCACGGATCGGAGGCTGCTCACGCAGGCCAACACCATCTTCGTGTTGGTGGAAGTTTCCCCTATCCGATGATGGTGTTGGTTTGCGTGGGTGGCCTTCGCTTTGTGAGTGGGGGGCTTTGGAGCGGTTTGTTTGCAAATGCTGATGGGCCCTTTTCTATTGTTGATCCAGAGTTCAACGTTGCGATATGAGAGCGAATAGAGGCAAATAAATAGGGAAGACAACACCATGACCCAAATAAGTAACCAATGCATGCGACCCACACTTAACTTGTTCTATTTCTTTCTTTCTTCCTATCATGTACTAATATTAACTGCCTGAGGACAAATGGGAACACGACCAGAAGATCAATAGGAGAAAAAGAAAATTCGAACAAGAAAAGAAGAATTAAACTTGCACCGGCAAGAGGAAGCAGACAGAAAGGATCATGCCGGTTGGAGACAGCCAATGTATACTGGACGAAGCTTGTATCTAGGAAAAGTCGTATGTGCAGGAAACCGTAAGTAGGATAAGAATCGTAAAAGGTGTGTGCTTGCTTGGTAAGATCCTAACTTTACTTTAAATACACGGTAGGAATCGAATATCCATTTATGATTAAGGTTTTGCCCATTTTTCAGTGGGAGTGGCAATACTCATTGATGAGTGATTTATCGTACCCATTTATTAGTAACTGTTAGCAGCTAATGATTAATTGATTTACCTATTTTAGAATTACCTATACTTCACATCAGAACCTCATTTCCTTCAATTACTACTCCGTCGCAGCATTTTCGACATTATAATCAAAAGGTGAGTTTTAAAAATATAGTTACCATGCATATAGATAAGTTAATGTACCAGAACCTGGACGGACACGAGCCTACCCAGGGGAGGACCCGGATACGACCACCCATGTGTGTCTAGAGTATCGCACGAGCTGACGAGTGCAACGGGAAGGACAGTAGGTGTATAGACTAGGGGGTTGATCCCTAGATAAGCCTTCTTAGCGGAAGGCACAGCCTATGCACTGAACAATTACAATTACAATTACAATTACAAAATTATGAAAATTTATATTGATACGGTAGCCCTAAGAATACACCTTTCAAATTGACACAATGTAAAGTACAGTTATTTTATGGATCATGCTTATCGATATTCTAAAAGTTGAGTAGATCAGCGCCCCCCGAGTGTTCGGAAAATCATTCTCAAATCTCATTTATTGACTCTTCTTCTTCTTCTTCTTATTCGCATTTCAAGCTTATTGCTTAGCGCATATTAGCTTATTGCGTGCTCTCAACTTAGTATTCTAAATGCACTTCCACAGTTATTAATTGAGAGCTTTCGATGCCAATATACCAATGCATCAATTTGTATATTGTGTGGCAAGCATAATGATACTCTATGCCCAGGAAAGTCGAGAAAATTTCCAACCCGAAAGATTCCCTCGACCGGACCGGGAATCGAACCCGCCGCCTCCGGCTTGGTAATACCGTGCCTTTACTGACTAGACTATGACTCCTCGTGTGCTAATCTGAAAAACAAATCTCATTCTAGAGATTCTCATGCTATTTCACGCACTGACCTCACCACTTCAAAAAATAATTCCAGCGTAAAATTTATACAAACATTCCAAACGTCAATAATTGATAGCATGGTTATGTGTGTTTGGTTAGTTTTCTATCGAATAATGCAAATCGAGACTAATAACAATGAACAACACCAAAATATAAAGCAATGAATGTTTGATCCGGAAATTTCTCCGGTGATTATTGCGCAGTTGAATTCCGGAAGGCAAAACCCGTAGGCGAATAATCTAAGAGTGTGAGTTTAAATTTTGGAGATTTTTCGAACACTGCAGATTAGACATTATTTTTCCTCGATTATTTCATGGGATATTTCAAAAGTTACGGGAAGGTGATCAGAACTGAAGTCAGCATGGGTAACCAATTGGCTACAAAGTTGACATGAATCAGTTAAGAACAAATCAATTGTTGAAAGATTTCTTGCTGAAGAAAAGCATGTTGGGCTGTTTGGAGATCTCATCCACCATCACCACGACGCCGAGGGTTCACTCCATTGATGGGTTGGTTGTCAACCGATCGACGACCGCAAACACGGAAGAACAATGACACGCCTCAACAAGGGGCTAGGATCCCAAGTAACCAAAAGTTCCACATTCAACGATTAAAATCACTTCCAAGTTCCATAAAGTTCAAATAAAGTTCCGACAGAACTTTCAAGTTCCATTAAGTTCGAATAAAGTTCTGACAGAACTTTCAAGTTACATAAAGTTCCGACAGAACTTTCAAGCCACATGAAGCAATCCGCACAAGTAAAAATGAAATGATCAGCGGCCCGAATAAATCATAATTCTTATATTTATGCAGTGCATCAACATTCTATCCAAACATTTAAAAAAAAGAGTAATTTCCGATTGCTAACCACTGCGCCATAAGTGTGTTAGAATACCATGCAGGCAAACACCAATTTAAAATTCATCAAGGTGTTGTGTTTCGTATTCAAGTCAGTCATCTGGCACTGAAAACTCCAATAGTAGGCGGGACAACAGCTCACTATAATATATCTCAGATGACGTAGCGGTTCGTGCTAGGGCTATCACGCAGAAGGGCTGGATTTAATTCTTCAAACACTATCGGAACTTTCAAGTTCTTATAACGACTTAAAAATGAGGCTGCTTAGAATTCTATAGACCACCTTCAACCAAGCTGCTTAAGCCACAAATAGCCTTTTATCAGTTACTTGGGATACGCTGTTTTAACCAAGCCAGACGTGGAGCAGATCATCATTGACGTAGAGACAGCGATTACCAAGACACTTCCAACATCATCACAGAATACGGTCAGGACTATCACATCGAACAAAAACAAGGACAGACAGGAGCAAAGTCGCACCAACGAAAAGGAAATTCGGATGGTAAAGGAGCTGAAAAGTAAAGCAGTAGGGTAAACGCTCCTATAGTAGCGGTACGTTAGAAGCATTAGGTTCCTATAGTTGTGTATTGAATCTCCATACATAACTATAGGAATCTAACGCTTCTAACGTACCGCTACTATAGGAGCGTTTACCCTATACTATGTGAAATTAGACTAGGGCAACGCGGTCGTTATCATGGACAAGGACGATTACGACAATCAGATGGCAACGAAGATTAACAACGGGCCGTATAGACAGCTTCTAATACAGAACATAGTGAAACGTGTGGAGAAAGCACTGAAGGAGTGCAACTCAATATTAGGAGATGGAGCAGGTCGTTTGCGGGAATCCAATCCCATTCTACCCAGGATCAAAGGTCTCTCCAAAATCCACAAACCGGGGAATGAACTGCGAGCGATCGTGTCTGCAGTTGGTTCCCCCACCCACAAACTAGCGAAGTAGCTAGTCACAGAGTTCCAGAGTATGCCGAATCAGTTCCAGAGTAAAGCAGTTAGTAACACCCAGGAGTTCGCCCAGCAACTACAATCTTCAGGAGACATCAACAAGGACGAGATTATGGTATCTTTTGACGTCACAGCTCTTTTTCCCAGCGTACCGGTCAAGGAACCAATCAACCATTTGGAGGACTGGCTATTAACACTACGAGAGGATGCAGCATAGAGAAACAAGGTTCGGACGTACCTTAAGATGACCGCCTTTGTATGGAAGAGAACTACTTCTCTTTCCGAGGTAACTTCTACAAGCAGACCCCAATTATAAACCCCCTATCCCCCTTCCTGCGTGTACTTTTCATGGCCAACTTGGAGACAATCCTTAAGGAGAAAGGACTATTACCAAACCGTTGGTGGAGGTTTGTTGACGATATCTTCACCGTAGTTAAACGGGAAGCTTTACACAAATTTTTGATGAGATCACGGAATTCACAAGGATATCAAATTCACTCACGAGGTAGAAAAGGACGGGAAACTCGCATCTCTCGATCTTCTAGTCATCAGGGAATCGTCATTATCTTCTTCGCTTGAATACGAAATTTACACGAAACCAACAAGCATCAAAAGAGTTATCCCCTATACTTCCAACCATTCGTTCCAGCAGAAAATGGCCGCCTTTCACCACATGATTCATCGGATGCAAACTCTTCCACTTCCACGATACAGGAAAGGTTAAGGATTTAGAGTACATCTTCGAAACAGCGACACTCAACGGATACAAGGAGACCACAATCCATGCAATCATCGATAAAAAGTGAGAATTCTTCAAAGGAGATTATTTACAACCCTCACCGCAGTACCAGAACCCTTGAAACGAGTGTCCGTTCCATTTGATCAAGATATTACTTGTAAGCTAAGACTACAGTTAAAAAAAACTCGGAATAGATTTAGTTTTCACCAGTAGACATAACCAGTTAAAATCATTGTTAGGATCCACTAAAGACCCAGTTAATGTTTTAGGTAAAGCAGGTGTATATAAAATAAGCTGTAATCATTGTAAAAAGTGTACGTAGGACAAACCAAGAGAACTTTAGCAAGTAGATTTAAAGAACATATAGCGGAGGTTAATAAGGCCAAAAAGCAAGAGGAAAAACAATTATGAAAAAAAGTCTCCTGCACTTCGGAGATCTAGGTAAGTCTTAAATTCGATTTTATTTCCTATTTGGTCTGGGAAATGCTCCATACTCAATCGTGTTAGCAGAGCCTTTTTAACCGTGGACTGTCTCTTCTGATGTGAGAGTAGAGGATCTATTGCTCCAGATGCAGGCCCAGATAAATAAACCCCCAAAAAGCTATTACATGAAAAAAAGAAGACAACATGTATTTTTCGGAATGTGTTCAAAATAATAAGCCTCGAAACGATATTGTGTAAAAAAATGTTTTTGTTCTAGTGTAAAAACACCGACTTTGCATGCATTCCAAACAACACTAGATTCACATATTACTAACATAAATTATTCGACCGTTGCTCTACATCGGCGGGCATAAAAATTCAGACAATGTTATTCGTACGGTAGTTTGAGTTGAGTTGTGACGTCGGTTTGGCAACGTTCTCATAAACGCAATCTCCGGCAATCCAAGTAGACAAAACATTTAGTGAGTCATCCAGGACAACAAAATCGGCATCGGCTCCGTACTCAAGAACGCCCTTCTGTTTCTCGATACCGATGCACTTGGCAGGATGCAGCGAAGCGGCCTCTAAAGCATACACGATAGAGCAATCTAAAGGAGGAAACAAAATTACTAGAACGTAGATTGCACATCCGTGTTAATAGTCTTACCAGAAGCTTTTTTGAAAAATCGAATACATTCATCCATTGGCGCAATACTACCGCACAGAGTGTCGGTATTGGCAATATATGCTCGGCCTCCGCGAACCTCGATATCCATTTGCCCAATGCGGTGTCTACCCTCGGTTAATCCCATCGCAGAAATGGCATCCGTGACCAAAATGAGTCCATCTGGATGAGTTTTGTAAGCGATTCTAAGCGCCGCCGGGTGGGTGTGAACTCCATCGGAGATGATGCCAAAATAGACCAATGTATCCAAAGGAATGTTATCGGTAGTCAGGAGACCCACCAGTCCGGGGTCACGATGGTGAAACTGTACGGGAAACGTTGTATCATAATCTTAAGCACAACTAATCATAAAACTTCAATCAACTTACCGGTAGCATCGCGTTGAACAGGTGCGTAATGAGCTTTGCTCCGTGTTGTACCGCCACTTCGCCGTCACGCAGATTAGCCATTGAATGACCAACCGAAACAGTAATTCCACGATTGCTCAATTGGCGAATTACATCCGAGGCGCCTTCCTTCTCGGGAGCGAGCGTAACGATGCAAATGTTATCGAGTGAACCATACACGTCCAGCAGCGTTTGGAAACCCTTGAGAGAAGTAACAAACGCGTGCTATGAAATATTGAGTACGTGGATCGATACGGAAACAAACTTACATTTTCAAATTCTTTTATACACTCCTGTGGATGGGCTCCCTTTTTGATACTATTGATGAATGGGCCTTCCACATGGCAGCCCAATATCGTGGCACCATGGTGACCTCCAGGTTTTTTCGAAATTTTCGGTAGTACTGTGTGGTATGTTTCGGGTGGCGACGTGACTAGTGTTGGGCAGAATGAAGTTACGCCATGCGTCAGAAGGCCTTTGGATACTTTGCTGACGCCCTGTTCGACTGTTGCGATGTCGTAGGAAAAATCTACACCGTATCCGCCTATTGTGAAGAAAAGAATTGATTTGAATGATAAGTTATTCAACCATTCACTCTCTCCGTGAACAACTATCCATATATCGTTTTAAAATTTGTATGGACCACCCTCCCCCCACCCCTAAAGTGTCCACGTGGTATATGGACAGCCCGTAAGTCCGGAATTTAAAACCTTAAAATGTCACAGATTGCCGGAGATTGCGTTTATGAGAACGTTGCCAAGCCGACATCGCAACTCAAGTCAAACTACCGTACGAATAACATAATCTTTACTTAAAAATAAACTGGGATCTACTCTAGTTCTGTTAAGTCGTGTGTCGTGAAATATTCGTTTATTATTGAAAATGCAAAACTCCTTCTGACGGCTCAACTTGGCCTACGAGTTTCTTGGGTTTATTAGCCGAAACCCCATTGGGATTCTATTTGGCCTATCAAACGGAAAGAAAAGTGAATTCGCATGCGCCTTTTGTTTTTGAGACACTGGCGTGCATTTGCATCGTTCTGATAAATGAAATGAATAGAAAATTTCTGGTGGAAAACTTGCACTGGTCTGGTAAATGAAGGCACAAGTTTTATTTAAAATTAAGCTATATTGAAAATTTCTGTTGGAAATTGTGCACCGTTCTGGTGAACGAATGGCCAAGCTTTTCGGAAAATTTTTGGTCTTAAATTTGCATCCTTCTGCTGAATAGAGAAACAAATTTTAATAATAATCTCTGGTGTAAAATTTGCACCATTCTGATGATTGGAGGGAAGGTGCTTTACTGAAAATTTACTATGAAAAATCTGAAAATAGGGGCAAGCTTTATTTGGTGGAAAACCTGCAACATTCTGATGATAGGAGAAGCCAGCCATATTGAAAATGTCTGGTGGAAAATGGAAAAAAGGAAATCTGCACCAATCAGAAGATTGGAGAAACAATTATTATTGAACATTAACGGTGGAAAATTTACATCGTTCTGGTCAATTGAAATTTTCTGGTGTAAAATTACCTGAGGGCAAGTATGTATTGAAAATTTCTGGTGTAAGATTTGCAACAATCTTCTGCGTGGAGGGGCCAGCTGAATTGAAAATTCCTGATGTAAAAATTGCACAGTTCTGGTGAATGGACGGGCATGCTTTATTGAACATTTCTGGTAGAAAAATTAAAACGTTTTGGTGAATGGACTGACAACTTAAACTTGACTTCCGAGAAGAACCTCAAGGGTATTAAATTCTGAGGATAGATTCTGCGAATAATTTCTAGTGAATCCTGCAAATTGTTCCAAGATAATTTCGGAAAGAATAGCGAGATAATCAATTTTTGAATGAAATTCCAAAGGGATGTTGAGGAAAATTTCAAGGGAATTCCGAAGATAATTTCAAGCCCATTCTGGGAAGAATTTCTGGAGAATACAGAAGAAATTCTTCTGAAACTTTAGGGGAATTTTAGTTATAAGGTGTTCTGAAAAAAAAAGTTCTAAAATTTTCCGAGAAGAACCTCAAGGATATTGAATTCTTAGGACAATTCCAAAGTATTTTTGGGGAGAATTCAAAGAAAATTCTGCGGATAATTTCTAGTGCATCCTGCAGATAGTTCCAAGACAATTTCGAAAAGAATACCGAGAAAATCAAATTTTGAGTGAAATTCCAAAGGGATTTTAAGTAAAATTTCAAGCGAATTCCGAGGTTAATTTCTAGCTCATTCCGGGAAAAATTTCTGAACCTCTAAAGAAATTTCAGTTCCAAGGTGTTCTGAGGCAAAATCACGAAGAGTTCTAAGTATAATTCCAGTGGACTTCTAAAATGAATTTCAAAAGATCTTTTAGGAGAGTTTTAAAAAAATCCGATAAGAACCTCAAGGATATTGAATTCTGAGGACAGTTCCAAAGGATTTCTGGGGATTATTCCAAGAAAATTCTGCGAATAATTTCTAGTGAATTCTGCAGATAGTTCCAAGATAATTCCGAAAAGAATACCGAGAAAATTACATTTTGAGTGAAATTCCAAAGGGTTTTGAGGAAAATTTCAAGGGAGTACCGATAACTTCTAGCTCATTCCGGAAATAATTTCTTTTGCGGAACATTGCGAAAACCTTGCGAGGAAAACCAGTGGCAATCATTGCAGATGAGGCGAGTGATTGTGGCCACCACGAGCAGTTGGTGATTTTCAACAGGTAGGGGAAATGTCTCTAATGTTGGCCTATGGATATAAAATTGGGCCCATCGCTAGAAATCTGCTATTTATCAATTTTATCTAGATGAACGCGTTATTGGGACGTTACTAATGGATATTTTTGGTTGCTATTGGAAATTTAGTCGATTGCTGAATTTATGTATGGGCCCAAATTAGGAACACTTAGGCCGACATTACCTGTATTTCCCCTATATTGATAATGATAAGATTAAATTGCCAATTCCATTGGCTGTCTAAGAGCAGTTTGCATTGAAGAAGATGAACCACCACCGGAGCAAAAAATAAATAAAATTAGCTAAAATGACCAGCAACGGCGCCGGTGGTGTAGTGGTAAGCGTGATTATCTCTCACCCCAGCAGGCCTGGGTTCAATCCCAGTCGGCGCCGCCGGGATGTTCTGAGGCATAACATCTCTGATCACGCCTTCCTTCGGATGGGAAGTAAAGCCGTTGGTCCCCGGTTCATGAGTTGATGGGTCGATAGGTAGGGTCTAGGTGTGGAAGCTGCCTTCCTAGCACGTCGGTAGCATTGGTGCTCAGCACGGAAAACAAGATCGACGGAAAAAACAAACCAAAGAAAAAAAAAAAAAAAATGACCAGTAGGGAAACAGTGGATGGTGGACAGCACCATCCACCACGCACTTTGGAGTACTCCCCATCCCCAGAATAAATGCACCATAGAAAAAAATTGCCCCTCCTTAAAAAGATTCCTGTGCACGCTAGTGTTTCGAGGTCTTATTTTGCGTTCTTCAACACTTCGTCTTGCAGCTATTGAATAGAAGCATCGTACCAAACGTTTGTTTGACACGTTCACGCCAAAATCATAGATATATTTGATGTTTTGAGCTCGATAGGACCAGAATGGGCGGTTAGGTCGAAGTAGTGCTCTACCCTACGTGATTGTCATTGTGTTATTTGTTTGCGAGATAGAGCTTTTATTGGCGAGAAACTGGCGGCTTAAGTTATTGTTTACAAAAGCAGTTTCAACCTCATCTCAAATCGGATTTGAAGAACTATGACTTGGGAAATTTTTCGAGATTCTATGACCACTGATTTTACATAATAGATTTCTCCTTCTTTGAAACTTGAGCAGTTCTTTCGAGATTTGAACTAGACAAGAATATCAAGATTCAGCACATAGTTCGATGAGCTAAGATTAGCCGAATTCTGACTTTGAAAGATTTAAAAGTTTTAAAAATTCATCTGAAGACCATTTAAAATTCATCTGGAGGAGACCTAGGCTTCCCTGTTGCGTTTATTTTTTTATTTTGCAAAACTACGGTTACATAAAAACTCGCGAAGATGCTATTCAATCAAATGGCGTCAAAGCAACTTGTTTTTGGGTTAATAATACTACATTGAGGCTTATTATTATATTAATGGTTAAACCACAGACAAACAGACGTAACTCTTCATTGTGTATCTTCGTTCACGCATTTAACTGTTGATTTGAACATTATCAGTTCCGCGAACTACTCGCCGCAGCGCTGGCATCGGATCACTTTGACGTTTCTATACATTCTATAGAACTTTTATACAATATTCTTTGCGAGTTAGCGAGCAAGCTTGTTTTCCGCGAGAAGCCAGAGAGATGTCGTTACTGAGGTCCTATGTTTTGAGATACTATGTTTTCAAGAACAACTTTTTCAAAGAGTTACGTCTGTTTGTCTGTGGTTAAACCAATTTGATTATATTTATTTCATAATAATGATTGGGACCTCGATTGTGGGAGACTTAAAAGCTTACTGATTTTGAACAAGCAACAATCGTTTATTCATGCTTTTTGTAATGAAATCACATAGCGTCCGGATCTCATAAATTTATGCATCTCAAACATAAGAAAATTCTTACAGTTAGGTGTATTTTGTAACTAGCTTTTTTTAGATTTTAAATATTTCATCATCAGTTAACTCAGACATAGGAACCAAAATTAAATTCTAGAAGTTTGAATTTTATAATTTTAGAACTTACAAAAATGTGCAAGATGTATGTCCATGCACAATTCTTAACATTCTGATTGTTAAAATAAAGATAGTTTTGAGATCCCAAACCCATATGCAGGATGGCAAGTGAATTTCTAATTTTAAATTCCTGGTTTTCGTGGTTTCTTCTATAAAAATTCCTGGTTTTTCAACAAAGCTTTGAATCTATCAGTTTTGCATATTTCCTATAATTCTTCTACATGAGAGAAATGTCTTAACTATATTATATATGTATTTAGTGAAATACTTAAAATTATATGCTTCGTTTGCATACTAAACTGGTTTGAAAAAAACAGAAGTAAAACAATAATTCCATTAAGTATATTCAACGTTCACTCCCAAGTAACAATTTGGGTTTTATGCGGGTTCTGTAGACCATTATTAAGACTTGTAGAATGCTTTAAAACTGCGATAAAACTTGCAATGTTACTTGGGCTGAGCTGTGTCGACTTTTCATAAAACAAAAGGCATTCGCTAACTAAAATACATATCATGTGTCAAACCAGATAACAAAAAATATTAAAAATACATTAGTGCTCATCCGGTTCATGTCAACAAATTGAAATTAAAGTTTGACAGATGCATATCCATTAAATGAGCATTTGTAGTACAAAGTTTTTGACTTAGCTAACGTCTACTGTATTCAAGCAGCATAAGGCCAATTTATTGACCTCCGCTCAAGCCTTTTTTACTAGTACGTTCTAGGCTCAAGCCTTAATCCTGGTTTAACTAAATGGGTACATTGGTCCTTAGCGATATTGGCATTTATATTTCATTAACACTCCGAACACAAAGCCTTCGGTAGAATGTGTAACGGAAAACTTGCAATGTTTGAATGGATGAATTTTACACTCGATCAATTTCAAATGTTTCAAAAAATGAACAGTGAACTATAGGCTCCGCAAAGCAAATTCAATTGAATCTTCCAAATAAACGATCTAGCTATTAAAAAAGTTTTAACATGTTTGGCAATGCTGTTTTAAAATAATATTGCGCATTTAAGGGTTGTATCATCTGCTCGTCGAGTGATGCTTCTTTTTGAGCAGTTGCAAGTACTTTTGCTTTTAACATTTTGAGCAACTTTTCGATTTCTTTCAGGATATTTCCCTATCGATAGTATCCTGTTTCTTTCTGTTGAAAGCTTCCTTGTAACGATCGTAGGGGTTTTTGGCATATTGCACAAGACTTTTCGTGATTCCTACTTTTGTCACGCCTCCAGCATTCAATATTGCATTATGAACAATGCGCTGAGCCACAAGACTTTCGTCTGTCTAGTTGATCACCAAGCACTCCTTATTTACGAAAAATCCCTCCTTTCCTTATTAGAGAGTTGTATAGATTTTTCTCCTTTAGTTTACTTAAATCTTTGGTTTTTATTAGTTAGGTAGGTTCCTATTCAACACATTGTAGTTTCATTTTTATACCTGTGATCTTAACTTTTTTACCTAGGGATGAGTACTTAAGGGGGTTAGATTTTGATAAGTTCTTTAGTGGGAATGACACTGGTGAAGACTGCACATTGTAGTCGAAATACGTATCTGTCATGGATACCAAAATTAATAAAGTGGAATTAAATGGAAGATAACCTGTTTTGCTGTTTTATATGAAAAATCCCTGTTCCAGCGTGGCATTTCCATGCGACATTATAAGAATTTTCCTGACGAAACCTATATGGTTTGGAAAATCTTTGCCAGCAACATTCATAAGTCTCATCTACAGTCTATCCCAACGTTCCTCACTTCAACGATAATTTTTCAAAATTTCCTTAAAATTAAGAGCATCGCACAACTCATTATATTCCACTTTATTTTTTTCCGCTACCGTACCATTAATATTATCCTTCTCCACTAGTTGTTCAAGACAAAACTTCAACTGCTGTTTAGCTGTTTCAGGAGAATTCGATAAAACAATAGGATCGAGGCAAGAAACATATCTGGTCATAGGGAATGACAATGGTGATCGATCTTGCATTGTACGAAGGATTGCTACGTAAAAATCCTTACAGTTCTGTCGGAAAATTAGGAGGGTTTTCTCCGATACTATGTTTTTCTCCACAGGACTTTCAACCGCAGCTTTCACAGCTAATACCAGCTCCATCTTGGCTGCCGGCAAGAAATCATCAGAAAGTTCGACACTTATGAGCGATTTGAGATTCACTTTCAAAAGCGCCGGTTTGACCGATTTATCCATTAAGCTGGGTTTAGGGGAAAGTCAATTGATCAAGTCAGTTGAATTCAACATGGACCTCTAACCCATGAAAGTGGTACATTACAATCTCAAATTGAATAAAGCGTTCGATACATTTTATATGATGCCAAAAAAGAAAGAAATCGCATGTTTTCAAAATAAGGAAGACACCGCATTTTTCTAAATTAACAAAATGTAAGCGCCAGGGAATCAGTTCAATTCATGATTACTAGTGATGTGTGAAGGAAACTGCAACCATCTCGATGTCAATCTACAAACAAAGCTTTCTTAATCGCTTAAAGTTTGCAGCAAATTTTCTCGATTAACTTCATGATATAAGAAGAGGTCCTTGGCATGGCGATTTTCTCACCCTTAGAAGCAGTGTTGAAAATATTCACCAAAACTCCCTATGACTCGCGAACTTTTCCCTTGTTGAACTTCGTTAAATATTGTGAACTTTTTCAATCAACGCTAGGGGCAAAAATTTACAAAGTTCTCCTACATCTAGCATATAAAACACTTGTCTTTAATCCCTTTATATTTTTTCCCTTGAGTAAAATTTAAGACCCAGCTGCACAAGAAAATTATTCCGGATAATACGCTTAACAATACGCTAATTCACGGGCAGATTCCTATTGGTGGGAAATCGTAAAAACAACGCTTTCACCTCCAAAATTCAGTAGCTTAATTTCATCGCAATTGCAATACTAAAACTTCATTGAGATTATAATTTTCCAAGCATCCAATGAAGAACTAGAATACTGAATAACGCCACTCTATGCTGTCGAGGCAATGTTAGTCTGCGTTTCTTGAATCATTATTCAATCATAAAAGTGCTATTCCAAGGCCATTATCGTAAATACTCATTTAGTTTATTCTCTGAGCTAGTCAGGCTGTTAAGAACACAATAAGGAACAAGAATTACAAGTGATCAGAAAAAAAATCATCTTCTTCTCTTAACTCTTTACCAGTCTTGCATTTGTTAAAAAGCGCTCCAATGCGCCCAAAGGATCTACGTCAGACGCCATCAGTCGTAACATCTATTAAAAGACGCACATACCTATTTGGAGGATATATTATGGAACAAATAACAACGTCTAGTGTCGACGGATATAGATTTTTTTTATCAACCCACAGGATTTCAATTTAACTCAGGAATGTGTCAACACCCTGTAGGAGCTGAATTTATATTACATCAAGCATTGAGCAACCACAAATTCGCAACTCTATTTATAATTTTAAAACATCCTCAAACTACACATACTTCTGTGATTAAGAAATATTTCCCTGAATTTTAATTAAATTCCCTGAGAATCCCTGATTTTCCAGGTCCAAAAATGAATTCCCTGATTTTCCAGGTTTTTTCCAGGTAGTTGACACCCTGTATAAATTCTTCGAATACAAATGTGAATAAAAGTCAACGAAATTTGATCAATATTCAAAATTCTATATCCTGTAACTTATGCAACGTTTCCTGAACATTTATAAAATTCCCTTAAGTTCTAAAAAATTTTCCAACTTCTACGAAGATCTTTGAATTTATTGTAATTTCCATATTTATTCCATCTCTCGTAATCCTACGAAGATCTCTGAACATTTTTGCACTTCTTGAAAGACACCTATCATCTACAAATATTCTTGAATATCTGGAAAGTGCCTTGAAATTTAACGAAGTTCCCAAAACCGCCATGAAGTTCATGGAGCTTTTTTGAAGTAAGATCTGTGACAAGCTGTAACGAAGCTCCCTAAACTGAAACGAGGATCCCTGAAGTTCTTAGAAGTTTAAAAATAGATCTTCATCACCATCGGACAGATGAGATAATCCCAATATTAATTTGTCTGAATCACTTGTTATTAGCGATATATTGACGATGGAAGTCAAAAATGACCTTTCGCCTTTTGGAATTAATAATATGAGATGTCGCTCCTTCAGTGGTAGGAAAATCATTTTTGCAGTATGGAAAATATCAGAAAATCCACGATTTGTGACTAAACATGCTTTCACAGAAGGAAACAAATAAACGAGTATTTACCTTATCACCATAGTAATGTACTCGTGCAATTTTTGTGCATCTAAAACTGCCCATAAATACGATAATGAATAAAAACTAAAAAAAATCATGCATTTCCAAATGGTTTCCTACCATTCCCATACATTCGAAAGTGACTGGCCCTCTGGATGTGGATGATGTCAAAAACAACAAAACATGATTAATTCGACCTTCTGCTTCCCTTAAAAAAAATGCTACCTTTTTTAAGTTTCGTCTTATATTGCTGATCGGTTTTGGTGTTTTCGGAGCACTTATTGCTTGCATCATAAGAAATAAGTGCACCATAAGACACCAAGACGATAAGACGAATCTCGTACTGTTATCACACTTTGTAATAAGTGAAAAAGCGCTCATTTGTCCAGTTTGGTGTGACATGAGCAATATTTTTCTGACTTTTGAAATTCGGCCTTTCGACAGTTCTGCCTTTTGATTTTCTACCTTTCAACGCAAGATCGTAGTTTCATGGATGATAAAAAAAATACAATTGAATGTAGATGCTTACCATTGATTTGTAAATCTATGAATCCAGGTGCTAGGATCGCACCGTTGCAATCGATCTGCACATGAGCTTGTCTTTTTTCATCGAAGAAGATCTTCTCCGGATCGATGATTTTACCATTTCGTACCCAAAGGTCATCCCGTACTAATTGGTGGTTCCGAAGCAAACGGCAGTTCCGAAACTGTGTTAATCTGCGTTCAGATGGCATCGTGTCTCGATTGTTACGATCACAAGTACAAGTAATAAAATGCTCTTATTGAAAATCACTGCGATATCAGCAACGCACAGTGTGATAAGATATGTACCTATTCACAAGAGTAGCAATCGATGTTATTAAGATTTTTATTGCATATGGGAGTTAATCAAATTGGTACACTTGTAGAGAGATTTTTTCGGTTGCAGAATGAGCGCACTACACCATCCAGGATTGAAAAACACAAAGCATTCAAGTCGAAGCTATTGAGAGCACGGCTGAACTGAAGGCGATGTCCGATTTTGCATTTGAATTTATATATATGGGAAGGTCACTGCAGTGTTCACTACCATCAACAGAAGCAGAACTACTATTGTGATTGTTCCTCATCTGTTGACCAGAATTGATAACGAAAGTATGTCATCCGGAATTTTCTGCTCATATATGGAAGTATAAGAACCTACTACCTACTAGTAGAATGGATCTGACTATAGTAACGAAATACAAAATTTAGGCACTGATACGTTAAAACCTCAAACCAGCTGATCGTACAATAGAAACCGTTTCAATGACCGCACCGATATGATTAGTTCTACCGATAAAAGCCTGCCTGACTGACTGACTATACGGCAGCGGATCGGCTTTGTTTATTATTTACCACTAACTATAAGGACTTGCGATACCAACACGCCACAAATACACGCTTAAGTTGTGTTTTACACATTGATATGGGGTTGCTGTTGAGCTGGTGCTACTGATGGTTGAAATCAATGACATTTATATAAGGTCTGGACCAACAGGTAGCTTGCTGGTGTTAGAAGCAAAAATGTTGTAAACATTGCTGAACATCTGTGAACAGATAGAAATACGTCACTGCCAACATACTGAGAACAGATAGAAATACGTCACTGCCAACAGCTGTTTCGTGTAAAAAGATAAACAGTGCAATACAATACGAACACCACTAAACATTTGCACATTTCACTAACACCAATAAGCCCTTTGGCCCAGACCTTATATAAACGTCATTGGGTTGAAATGGCATTCGATGAGTAATGCACATGCAGTGCTGGCAAATTTCATGACCGTCATATGAGAATGACAAAACAGGTTCACGAGAAAAAACTGCACAGCAAAAAAGATTGAAATATTCATAAATTGGTCATGCTAATACATCGAAAATTGATGTATAATTACAAAAAGCAGATACAATATTACATCCATTGATGTAAATTTGTTCCCAAATTCTGGGTATGTATCTACATCGTTAAACGTAACATATAACAAGCGATGGAATGAGCTATATGCATCTGATTCTAGATCTGATTCGATGTAGGTACAGGCAATATTCAACAACTTTTTTTTTTCTTTTGCTGTGTTGTACATTGCATCTGTTTGGATGGATAAATTTCGTGTAGCGTGTAGGTAGGGAAATTACGGCTTTGACACTTCATTACCTATTATCGTCAGGGGATGGATGATGTTCTTGAGTGCTAAGTTTTTGTATCATATTCCAGAGCATCGTTTTGCAAAAAACTGAATACTATAAGATTTAATTTTTCCTCCTGCCCATAATAGGTAGTTGAATTGAATAAATTGATTAAAAAATGGTTGCGCGATATAATATAGCACTCATGATTTTCCTCTTTCGAACATGAGCTATTCTTTCGACATTTGTTGTTGCAGTAATTACTGGCGCATTCTTACTGCTCCAAATATTAAGAGGTAATAATAACTGCAACAACAAAACTCGAAAGAACAAACCATATTAAAATAAATAAATAATCCTGCTGGCACAATATCAACAGAGATTTTCCTTGCTTTCAAACCTGAGCTGTTCTTTCGAGTTTTGTATTGTTTTATTGTTGTTTTACATCAACAGGCTGGATGAAGCCCCAATGATGTTAACCTTATCAACTATAGTAAAAAAATACATTCAAGCATAGTCATAACATAAAAAAAACTTTAAAAAACAGTCAGTTACTCCTGCGGGGAAAACAGAAGAAAACTTTGGACGAAGCGCATCACGGGAGAGATGAAAATCGAAAACAGATGCAACTCTGTTGAATTTTCTCTGCAGTCCGCAAATCGCACCGTATGCTCCATAATTTGTGCGACGTAGAGGCAGCCTTAGCATAAGGTTATTACGAAGCGGTCGGGGTTGAACATTCAGGTCAATTTGCCTCAGGATAACCTCGCAATCTGTCCTTCCTTGCAGGATATCGGCCACGGTTAGGGCTCTGCTTGTGTCTCTTCTAGTCCGGAGAAGTTCTAGGTCGATAAGTTGACAACGGCTTTCGTAACTGGGTAATCGACACGGATCATTCCAAGGCAATCTACGCAACGCAAAACGAAGAAAGCTATGTTGAACAGATTCAATTCTCTCGGCACCGTTGTTGTAGTTTGGGTTCCAAACCGCTGAACAATACTCAAGCGTCGATCGAACAAGCGAACAATATCGATTTTAGACAGGAGATATCAGTGAAGTTTTTAGCTATCCTAAAAAAGAACCCTACAGTTCTTGACGCCTTATCAACAACATATGCAATGTGTTGCTTGAATATAAGCTGCGAATCCAAGATCACACCCAAGTCTTTCACCTGATTCACGCGTTCGATTGTCGAGCCAAGCAGGTCATAGCTAAATATTATCGGTTGTTGTTTTCGTGAGAACGTAAAAGCGGAGCATTTGGCTGGGCTCACTACCATTCTGTTTAACCTGCACCAACTAGCGAATACATTCAGCTGACGTTGAAGAAAGTGACAGTCAGCAATGGAGCAGATTCGTAGGATGATTTTGAGGTCATCTGCATATGATAACCAAGGAGCTTCGATGACCAGATGCACGTCGTTGAAGTACAGTATAAAAATTAACGGTCCCATGTGGCTTTCCTGAGGCATACCCGATGTGGCGAAGAAGCTAGCTGATCTGCAATCTCCTATGGCAACCTTTAGTTGCCCGGTAAGATATGATCGAAACCAACTCAGAAGATTACCGCATACACCGAGCCTGCCGAATTGTGCAATCGCAATAGCATGGTTCAACTTGTCGAATGTTGCGCATAGGTTTGAATAAATAACGTCCGTTTTAACCCGATCCGACATGCTTTCGGTTATATACGATGTGAGACACAGCAGATTGGTGGTTGTAGAGCGACCGACAGTAAACCCATGTTGATCAGCACTCAAATACTGCTTGCAATGGGACAGCAACGGTTCCATAATCACTAGCTCGAATAGATTCGAAACGGCACTTAACGATGTAATTCTTCTATAGTTATCCACAGCTCGTTTCCTTCCTTTTGACGTAGGACTACGTCTTTGATTTCTATATGGTGAAAACCGAAAATGGAACATGTAACAAATTAAGAAAGATTTTGAACGTTAATAACTCAGCTGCCCCTGGTCCAATATCATCAATTTTATCACCAATCGATCAGATATATGGCTACGCATCGATAACAATGCTTCCGAATGTTGATTTTCAACAAGAAACTATTGAAAAACTGGTAAATGTCCAGCATTGTCCAAAAGCGTCGAATTAACTAACAAATCCACCAATTACCTACATGCATATGCTGCTTCCCCAGCACAGTCGTCAGAGAGTAGTAAGTAGACGAAACAAGTCGAAGTGGCATTCGCCTCCGATCCTCGGGCGCGTGCGAATAGGAAGGATGGAATTGCGTAATATTTTTCACACTCATCGCCATATTCAGAACCAAACGCAAATTCTTCGAGATAACCACCATCCGTCGTCTGGCTCGCCGTGGTGGTGTCTGACGTATCTCCGGTCTGATTTACGAGGTGTGCTGAAGGTGTTCCTGAAAAATGAGATCCGTGATGCTGTCACCTACACTAAACACACCAAGTGTAAGCGGATGTCATGTCAAGTGGATGTCATCTACGTTTTGAAGTGACAGAGACGCACTCTGTTTGGTTTCGGAGGTTAAATCATCACCAACTTTGGCAACAAAACGGCTCTTTTCAGGGCTGTAAAGAGTAGGAATAGAATTCATCTGCCTGTTTGTCCATATTCAGAACCAACGATCACACAAAATGCTCATGTAATCAAACAGCAGTGGAACAAATTATTTTGATCAACCTTGATCAACTTTGAATCGCCACGGCCGGATATTTTCGATGGAAGAAGCAACAATCTAGCATCTAATTCGACGAAGACGGCAGAAAACATTTGTGAAGCCGAGTTATTTACGAAAGAGATTGTCGATGAAGAGAATCGATTTATTTTCGATGAAGAGAATCGATGCCCCGTAATGTGGGTAGATCACCTTTTCGTGGTACGTTACGGGATGTAAGATCTACCACCGATTCCTAGTCGGGACTACGTGAAGTGGTTAAGACTAGGGTTCTGATGCATGGTCATTATCGGTGTCATACCTCAATTTTGTTGATAAGGAATCCAATTTTGATTGACAAAGGGGCGCGCCTTTGGAGGGTGTTTCAACACTCCGAAGGGTATAAATAGCGGGATCTTTCAATTAGAGTCGGATCCTTGCGATAAATGCAAGAGTGACAACTGTAAAAAAAAAAATCGAATACTTCATCATTTCTCAATAGTGATGGAGTAATACGACATGCACTAAACTAAGGACACGGGATACAGTGGGGGAAATTCGTTTAAACGCAATGTCATTTTTGCGTTTATTTTCAACACAAAAGATCGAGACAAAAAATCAAATATAGTTTGTCATAGCCCATCAGAAGTCTCGTATTTGAGAACACAATTTGATTGGAAGTTCATAATGACTTTTGAAAAAATCCCAAAAAAGGTGATTTTGGGGGGGAAATTCGTTTAAACGCACTTTTAGTTTTATTAATCAAATCGAGTTCACAGTTCAAAAATCAACAATAAACAATAGTTAATACTTCGTTTGCTTTCCGTTTTTCTGAATAGTTTCGAAAATTCTGTTCGGCATTGATTTCACCAGCTTCTGCAGAGTTGTATCAGGTATCAAGCTCCAGGCTTCTCTTACGGCTGACTCAAGTTCACGAACTGTTTTAAACTGCCTTCCGCCTTTGTAAACCTGTCGTGCCAGGATGCCCCACAAGTTCTCGATAGGATTTAGATCCGGACTACGAGCTGGCCAATCCAAAAGACTGATGTCTCGTTCAGAAAACCATTTCAAAGATTGCTTGCTGACATGAATTGCTGCATTATCCTGTTGAAATACGAAATTTTCCGGCATAACGTCTTCAGTAAACGGGATCAAAACATCTTCCAGAAGCTCCAAGTACTTTCCCGAATTCATCCTGGTTGAAATGGTGGCAATAGGGGTCTTTCCATGGATCGAAAAAGCGGCCCAACACATTAGAGTACCACCTCCAAAGTTCCTGCTCAACTTAACCTGCGGAGATTTCCTCAAATCGTGCCAATAATATGCGGTGCAGTCTGGGCCGTCCAAATTGAATTTCTTCTCGTCAGAAAAAATAACATTGTCCCATTCCGTAGTCCAAGACATGTATTTTTTAGCGAAATTCAATCTGGCGCTAATGTGGGCCGGTTGAAGATTGGGTTTTTTGCTTTTTTGGTGTACTTTAAGTGGCCACTTCCATGTAGAATCTGCCGTACACGTCTTAGAAATGGAAAGCCCCATTTCTTGCTTGATTTGCGCAGCAGA